CATAAGGTCTAGATCCTTATTTAGAGCTTTAGTGTCCTTACTTTTTTTTTGTCTCATTGAGCTATCCATTGTTGATAGTGGTGTGCTGAAGTCTCCTACTACATATGTATTTTCTCTGATGTCTGTTTTCAGAGATGATAATAGTTGTCTGATATATTTTGGTGCTCCTTCTTTTGGTGAATATATGTTAATGAGTGATATATATTCTTGATGTATTGTCCCCTTGGTCATAATGTAGTGACTGTCTGGGTCTCTTTTTACCTTTTTGAGTGCAAAGTCTGTTTTATCTGATATAAGTATAGCTGTTCCTGCCTTCTTTCTTGGTTCGTTTGCTTGTAGGATTGTTTTCCATCCTTTTGCTTTCAGTCTGTTTTTCTCTTTTGTAGTTAAATGTGTTTCCTGGAGACAGCAAACTGTTGGGTTTTGTTTCTTAATCCAGTCTGGGACTCTGCATCTTTTTATTGAAGAATTAGTCCATTTACATTTAGAGTTAATATTGATTTGTTAGTGTCTGTATTTGCCATTTTGTTTGTTTTTTCTGTAGTTTTATTTTTTTGTCTTTTTTTTTTTCTTATTCATCCCTTTGTTTGTTCCGGCTTTAGGACTCCTTGTAGTATTTTTTTGGAGTGGGGATTTAGTCATAATGAAATTCTGGAATTTCTCTTTGTCGGGAATGTCCTTATTCTTTCTTCATAGAGGAAGGAAAGCTTTGTGGGATAAAGTATTCTTGGTTGGCATTTGTTGTCTTAGAGTTTGTTGACTATGTCCCTCCACTCTCTCCTTGCCCATAGCGTTTCTTTGGAGAAGTCTGATGTCAGCCTGATTGGTTTTCCCTTGTATGTTATCTGTTTCTTCCCTCTTGTCAGCTTCATTATTTTTTTCTTGTCTTGGAATCTTGGGAGCTTCACTATTATGTGTCTTGCTGTATTTCTCCTTTCATCATAGAAGTTTGGTGTTCTTCTTGCTTCTTGTATGTCTATTTTCAGCTCCTTTTTCATGTTTGAAAAGTTTGCTTCAATTATTTCCTTGAATATTTTCTCTGTTCCTATGTCTCTCTCCCCTCCTTCTGAGATTCCTATAACTGTTGTATTTCCTTTCCTCGTAGAGTCAGATTGTTCCCGAAGTCTTTCTTCATTTTTTTCCTTCACACTTCTCTTTCCTTTTCTGTTTTGGTTCTTTCTATTTCTGTGTCTTCGAGAGTGCTTATTCATTCTTCCATTTTATCTATTCTGCTTTCATTGCTTTTCCCAGAGTTCTTTAGCTCCTCCATTAATCCTTTGGTCTTCTGCATTTCTTACACTTCCCTCTTAGGGACTCAATTTCAATCTTCTGATCATTCATTATTTTTCCCATATTATTTTTGACTTCTTTCAGTTTTTTAATGATGGCAATTTTAAATTCTCTAGCAGGAAGGCTCAGATCTTCCAAGTCACTATTGTTGCAATCTAGTGGTTGATTTTCTTTTTGTGGTGTATCTTTTCCCTGAGGACTTGCTTGGTTGCTTGTAATTTTTCTTCTCCCTGCTGCTTGTTTTCTAATTTGTCCTATGTGTTGGGACACTGTGACGCTGATACTGGCCAGCATCTCTTTGGTGTGCTCTTTCTGGGATGTCGGAAACTGGTGGCCAATGGAGTCCAGTACTGTTATGCCAAAATTTCAGTAGGGCAGTGGTATTATGGATATGTTAATGGGTGCTGTCCCTGAAAATCTCCTCCTTCTGTATTTACTTAATTCCAGAGGGGGATTGAGGTCCCACAGACTGCCCTGGCAGTGGCTGGATTGCCCCGGGCACCAAATGGCTGAATCACCCTCTGTGCTCCAACTGGCGGCGAGAGGGAGATCTGGCTTGCCCGCATTTTTTTTTTAAGCTCACCTCTGGCTGCAGGGATAGCCCTTTCTCAGTTCCACAGAGTTTTGGTGAGGTCCTGTATAGGGTAAATCTTTTCAGGCTTTTCTGTCCTCCCACCATTAGGATTGCCCTGCCTGATGGGGCACCTGCAGCTGTTACATTGTTTCAAACTGCCTTATTTACTTATGTGGCCCGTGGGAGGAGTACTGAGATAGTTACCAAGAGAAGCAGAAGCAAGGAGAGAGGCAGGAGTCGGAAGGGGAGAAAGAAGCCAGAGAAGCCCAGAGTGAAGACTTGCTGGGAGCTTGGAGGCCTAGTGGTCTCCTGGCCTCCCAGCACCCCTGCCTGCCATGTACCTGTTTGCCACACTACATGTAATGCTCAATAAAAGCCTGAGAAGCCACCAAGGGCTTCAGGACTCTCCTTTACCCCATCTGTCCACATCATAGATAAACCTGCTCAGTGACCATCCTGCCCCTACATCCTGACACAAAGCTCCCTGTCTTGAATATCCAAAGTGTTCCTTTTATATATAACTGTCTTCATATTTGTTACATTGATAGTGTTGTTTTTCAGCAGGCACAACCATTTACTGCAAAGTCCCCAGACACAGGGACACGCAGAGAGAGAAAGATGCAGACATCCAGAGATGGCCTTGGAGAGACAGACCAGCTTTGACTGGCTACCCAACCCTTTTGAAATGCGACTTTGTTTAGATAGGAGTGCTGAGGTCCCAGACATGAATCTTTAAAGGAAAAGAGCTATAAGTAAGCAAACTTGTTAATTATGCCTGCATTGTACCCGGGATGGAAGTTCTCCTGGGATCTTTATTATATTCATTTGCTCAGTAATATATTTTCTCATCAAAAGAGCATGAGAAGGGCCTCCCCGGTGGTGCAGCGGTTGAGCGCTGGGTTGTGAAGCTGCCCGCAGCCTCTGCAGCACCGGTTCGATCCCCGGCTGCTCCCCGGCCACCGGAGGAGGGTCCCACATGGCACGCAGACCTCTCCTGCCGCCCGCTGCTCCCAGCAGTGTACTTCGGTCCTTCTGCCTGCTCTGCTCCCCGCTCTGGCTGTGGTGAATTCTCTCACCCTCCCGCGCTTCTGACTGTACCCAGTGCTTGTATAAATAAATAAAAAATAATTTAAAAAATAAATCTTTAAAAAAAAAAAAGAACATGAGACAATAACATGGCTTTGTTGATTGGCAGGTGAGGTATTTGTGGAGGAAGCTGGAGTGTAAAGCTATGGATGTCCCCATTACAGAACTCACCACAATACACAGTGTTTGCTCCTTCACTCACCTGCTTCTCCTAATATTCAGTCAGCTACGGGACAGCAGACCATGGTGTCCAGACCTTGCCTCCCACAAAGCCTGACACTGGGTTGATGCTCAGTAAATGAGTAATAAAGGAAGGAAAGGAAATGGGGAAGGTCTCATATGTGTCCTAATAAAATTGTCCAGTCAGGTTCATTCGGGCAGAGTCATACTGGGCTGGTCTCCTTTCTGCTTTACCATGCTTAGATCAATACCTTGTCCATTCCAGGAAAAAGGCTACAGATCATCTTGCATCTCAATGAATTTAGGTGTTGTGTCAGGAAGGGGGAAGAAAAGTGGAATAGCAATCTTCAAGGAAAAGAAAAGGAATGATGAACTACAGAAATGCATAATGTAATAAAGTACCCATTTTCTTATTTCACAAGGAATCAGATGTACCTCTTTAAGGATCACACTGTTAACAAAACAGAGAACTGAGAGACATTATTTCCTTTTTGTGTATTTATAGAATTGTTGCTGTCCTTGTAATATTCTTTCTTATATGCTGTAATAGAGGAAACAAAAAGATTATAAGATCCTGTGTACTTTTCCTTGGTTAAAAAAAGAGGGTTTTTTAAAAATATTTTATTTTATATAATTCCTACATCATTTTTCATTTTTGCACAATGTATGCACTTTCATTTTGGTTATATTCCCCATACAATTGCACCCCCCCTTATTTTGACCCTAATCCTTCCTCTCCCTGCCCCCCAACCCCTGCAGTGTGTCTCTGGTCCATAGTTGCTTGTCGATTTTGATTTCTACTTTGTATTAATTAGTCTATTTCCTGGTCCCTTATTTAGATTTTCTAAATTCCTGCTATGAGTGAAACCATCCAGTATTTTTCTTTTTGTTTCTGACTTATTTCGCTGAGCATGATCCCTTCCAGCTCCATCCGTGTTGCTGCAAACTGCATGTGTTTATCTTTTTTGAATGCTGAGTAATATTCCATTGTGTATAAGTACCACATCTTCTTGATCCAGTCATCTATTTTGGGGCATTTGGGTTGTTTCCATAGCTTCGCTATTGTAAATAGTGCTGCTATAAACATAGGGATGCAGGTGCCCTTTGGAATTACTGTTTCTGTGTCATTTGGGTAAATACCTAGGAGTGAAATTGCTGGATCATATGGAAGCTCTATCTTTAGTAGGTCAAGAAATCTCCACACAACTCTCCATAGTGGTTGGACCAGTTTGCACTCCTACCAGCAGTGCAGGAGAGTTCCTTTTTCTCCACAACCTGGCCAATATTTGCTGTTGCTAGTTTTTTTAGTATGTGCCATTCTCACTGGTATAAGATGATATCTCATTGTAGTTTTGATTTGAAAAAAAAAAAGAAGGTATTCTTGTGTAGAAAATGTTCTGCTCTGAGCCAGTCCTGAGGGAAGAGGAGCCATAGTGAATGTGTTTTGATTGGTGAAAGAATGAAGAGGGAGAAAATTATGAATCAGAGGGAAGTAAACTCAATCTGTGGGGAAGAAAGCTAAAACCATAATATTTTATTTGTTCCTTCTTTCATGCCGTTGCAGTCTTCATCATACACTTACCATGTGGCAGGCACCACAGGGAATAGCAGTAGTTACACAAGGAATAGCAGTGAGCAAGGCCTGTGCGATTCTGCCCATGAGGAATATGTTATAGTGGAAAGATAGGCTGGATTCTAACAGAACAGCTACCAACACTGAGGGAGCAGGAAATAGGTGCTGGGAATTTTACTATAGACTGTGCCAAAGATGGACACTACAATATTTAAATATCAATTTCTCCCATCATTTGTTTAATAAGATTGGTTTCTCTCTGTTTTTCACTTTCTTGTTCTTCACCTCACTGATTAGCTGACCTCATTGGAACCTATGGCATAACCATGTACCAGTCTTACGGTCCCTCTGGCCAGTACAGCTTTGAATTTGATGGAGATGAGATATTCTACGTGGACCTAAAGAAGAAAGAAACTTTCTGGCGGCTGCCTGTGTTTGGCAAACTTACAAGTTTTGACCCACAGGGTGGACTCACCAGTATAGAAACAATAAAACACAACTTGGACGTCGTGATTAAACGTTCCAACTCTACTGCTGCTACCAATGGTATATGTGTCCTTCTTTCCTCTCCTGACTCTCCTTCCATAAAAGGCCTTAGTCCCTACTTCCCTAAGGATAATCATTCACTGTTCTATAAAACTCTCCTTTCCAAGTAGTCCTCAAGTCTTCTCATAGTTTTTACTGAACCCTCATCGTCCCCATCTCAAAAATCACATACTTTTCCATATAATAAAAGGATTCTTACCCCCATAACACGGTCCTTGAGTCTTTCAAAGAAGGACCCCATAGACCTCCTACCTTAATAAGAGCACCAGGAGAGAAGGGCACAGGGACAAAGTGCACCCCACATAATATAGCATTTCCCAAGCAGAAGGGAAACAAGATCTTGTCCCTTCTTAGATGGAGAAATAGTGGTCAGAAGGTTCCAGCAGGATGCAGAGTGGAACCTCAGGGCAGAGTTCTTTACAATTCATGCCAGTGCTATTCCCTCATCACAGAGGTCCCTGGGGTGACTGTGTTCCCCAAGTCTGCTGTTATGCTGGGCCAGCCCAACATCCTTATCTGTCTTGTGGACAACATCTTCCCGCCTGTGATCAACATCACATGGTTAAAGAATGGGCACTCAGTCACAGAGGGTGTGTTCGAGACCAGCTTCCTCACCAAGCAAGATTATTCCTTCCTCAAAATCAGTTACCTCACCTTCCTCCCTTCTGATGATGATGTTTTTGACTGCAAGGTGGAGCACTGGGGCCTGGAGGAGCCACTCCTGAAACACTGGGGTATGTGTAAGTTCTATCTCTTTAGGTATTATCTCTGTTAAGCCCATAAATCTTATGTCACAAAGATTTTTTTCAAAACTTCAATGATTTCTAATGATTGACTTCATTCTCCTCTCTAAGCCTGTGCCCTGAGTCCTTGTAGAACCAGCACAACCCACCCCCACCCCTTCCTACATGCATGTATATAGACCAGCACAGCACTCTGACTCCCACACCTTCATTTCACAGAACCTGAGATTCCAACCCCTCTTTCGGAGCTGACAGAGACTGTGGTCTGTGCCCTCGGGTTGGATGTGGCCCTCGTGGGCACCGTGGTGGGAACCATCCTCATCATCCGAGGCCGGCGCTCAGGTGGGGCATCCAGACAGCAAGGGCCCTTGTGAGTCATGCTGTGGGAAGGGAAGGGAAGGATTCATCTTTGTCAAAGCTGTGAACCAGAGACACAGTATAGGAGGATGGAAAGTGGGAGGAGGTTGTGGACTCAAATGTGACTGAAAAGTTGTTGGAGAACTGGGAAAGGGCAGGATAATGGCATCTCAGAAGGACCTCAGGACTCATCTATCTCATGTCTGTCTTGTTGCAGGTGCCCTGACCATCTACCAGAGCAGAAGACAGCATATGCCAGATGACCAAACACTAGTTTCTGGCCCAATTCATCATATTTTTCTCTCCTCCAACACTCCTCTCACCTCTTCTCTGGGTGAAAAGGTGAAGTGTCTTCTGAGAGCTCACATATCCCCAGGCTTCTCCCTTGACTGCCTGGTTTTTATTTTTTTCTGTTCTCAAATGCTATCTACTATGGGATCCCTGGGATATTCAACCCAATACCTAACCCCAAGTGATCTAGATCCTGTTCCTCCACGGTAGCAATAAATTCCTCTGTATGTGGCCTTTTATTGAATATTTTCTTGCCTTTCATCTCAGGACTGACTAACACCATGACCCCTTGTGCTTCAGGTCCATATAATCTCATTTTCCAGATCCTGTTTCATGCCTAGCAGCATAGAAGCAACCAAATGTAAACTGATAATATTTTGACATCTAGTGAAAGTTTATATTTCAATCTTTCTTGTGTTCTCACTCTGGGAATTTCCCCTGCCTCCCCTAATTCAGCCATCAGTGAAGATAATATATACCTTTTCTCTTGGTGTAGATTTATTATAGCAAAATACAAACCATGCAGTAAGTTTGTTCTCATTTAATATAGCTCTTAAAAGTTAGGAATGGGAAATAAGTTAGGAGAAAAGAATTTTGAATATCAAAAGTACCCAGTCTAAATTTTTTCCCAAAACTTTAAATTTGTAAAGAACAAATGATGATTGTGGGAACTTTCCTCTCCCCTCCTCATACTTAAGATAAAAATTTTATAGGCAGAAAAAAAAATAGTCACAGTAGCTTCAGAATCAGACAAACATACAGGAAATTATGAAGTACTTATTTAGTGCTTAATGCTTACATAGGATTAATATTAACCTATGTAAGTGGGTAAAGAGATGGGGTTAAAAACCACTGATACATTTAGGGTCCCTAAAATGTAAATGTAGTTTGCCTGACCTCCAAGATGAAGCATCCTAGGTTAACTACCTAGACTTTCCTGTGCCACCAAGGTATGTGGGAGACAGTGCAGTGATGATGGCCACAGGCTGTCCCTAAACAGAAAAGATCAAGTCAATCTAACCACATCCCTACTTCTTCTGGGGTACAGCATAACACCACATTATCCACAATTTTTGCCTTTCACTTCTTGCTAAGAAAAGTGTGAGCCTATTAGAATCTCAGGAGAACACCAAATTGAAATAATGCAGTAATGACTATGAGTGTTCCATCCTTCTGCAAATTCACTGTCTCATAGCAGTAGCCACTGCAGAGAAAATGGATCAACAACTGGGATTCACTGGTCTGAATGTGTCCAAAACCTCACACTTGAGAGTGTATCTGACGTGACATAGAGTCATCTTGCCCTCTGAAATTGTTTTAGGCACATTGCCACAAGCTTTCCACTCTGCAAATACTGTGTCCAGACATTGTATCTAAGAGGCATAATGGAATATCTATAAATGTATGTAGCTGTCCCTGTCCATGCCATCTACATCAGAAACTTAAAATGCAACTGGGGAGGGGGACACAACACAATAATTAGCATAGTTTGATGCAGAGAAACCAAAATCCAAATCTTGGCCTCAACACTTTAATGCTAGAATTTCAAATTTTACGACACTGGGTAAATAACATTTCTGAGTCACATTTATCTCATCTATTATGTGAGAATAATGGTAATTTCCTTGCAGAGCAAATTTCCTTGCAGAAATTTAAATAATCTAGGCAGTGACTTAAACACAATATAAAAATATATAAGAAAATATTGCTAGTTATATATGTAAATAGTTTACTTAAAGAATTGCTGTAGGAGGTCTTGTTGCCCCAGCCAGATAGGATACTGACAAGCAGCTAAGAGAAAGGGCCTCACACCATGGGGCTGAAGATATGGCATCCCTTTGCTTTTTGTTCATGGACATAGAGAGAGAAAAATTTATCAGAAAGTATATTAGGCAATAAATTATATGTATCAGCATACTGTAAGTAAATAGCACGGAAAATTGTTTGTTTAGAAATTAGTTGTTGGGCAGTTTGGCCCACTTGACAATGGGAGATGGTTTATTGAACATGCCTGACAAGCATTACAATGCAATAATTATAATAGGTCCTTCTTTTGCCTTCTCTTGAAGTTTCTTGGGAAAGTTTTTAAATGAAGCTATTTGAGTTAAGGAGTTTCTAGGTAAAGGAAGTTCTGATAGCTGAGTAGCAGCCAGCCCCTGCTGTGAAGGCCATTGAGAATAAGAAAAGTCTTTTCTTGCTTAGGCTTTAGCTGCTAGGGATGTACTGGCGGCTATGTACTGTCTTAGGTTATTGTTTAGCTGAAACAATGAATTTTAGTGTAAGACTTAGTTTTTTATTAACCTTGAAGGTTGCCTTCTTGCTGAGAGCACGGAAAAGGAGATGCACTAATTGTTTCTGCTTTGTTTCTATGAACTTGATAATGTAATCTCAATGCTTGCAAAAAATGTATAAATAAAAAACCTGCTGAGCCTTTCGGCAGAAGATACTAACACCTCACCAAGTGTCAGTGTCTCCTCATTCTACCTCATCCCCTTCCCCTCAGTCCCTAAGTTTCAGATCATTCGTATTTGCCGACGCCGTCTCATCCTTTCAGGAACCCTGACACGACATTTTGCCGGAGGCTGGTCCCCGGCAAAGAATGATTCATATTATATGAAAAGCACTTTTGCTTTTTGAGCCTTTTGATGATTTAGGAGACTCTAAGTATAGAGCTATGGATAAATTTATTTTGTTATGTTAACTGGAAGACATTTTTCCAGAATGAGAGAAACCAACATTGGGTTAGGCTGAGAAAATGGATAAGGTAGAGTAATCAGTAACATATCATCAATGAAGGAGTTACAAAGAAAACCCTTAGGGAAAGAAGCTGTAGTATCTTGCTTTGAGTTTTCACTACCTCATAAAAGATATGACCCTTCCTATGGCACTAATTTTTAATAAATATTTGTTATATGCAACAGATCTGTATGCATGTTTACTTCTAGTAGAGAAGTTTTAAAGAGAGAAAGCTACTTGTGGGGTAGAAGAGAATAATTTAAAATATAGATTAGGGATTAGTAAATGCAGGGAATTTGAAACAGAGGTGATCATGAAAGTGTGGGTAACAAAATACCAAGGATTTTTAGGGCACTACAACTACTCTGTATGACAAGATAATGGTGGAATATGTCATTATACATTTATCCAAACCCATAGAATATGCACTAAAACAGAATCCTAATGTAAACTGTGGCCTTTGAGTGGTGATGAGGTATCAATGTAGGATGTCAGTTGTAACAAATTAATACTCTGCTAGGAGATGTTGATAGTGGGGAGGCTATACATGATGAAGGCAAGAATATATGTGAAATCTCTGTATCTTCTGCTCAATTTTGTTGTGAACCTAAAACTGCTCTGAAATAAAATGTATTTTTATAAAATATAATATCAGCAGATATGATCCCAGTTGTATAAAATTTAAATTTCAGTATAAAAACTAGTTCACCTGCAAATGCACAAAGGTGATGCAGAGTGTTTGGCAATGGGATTTTGAAAAATTGTAATGTAAATTTTAATGATTAAGGACCTCCCTGGTGGAGCAGCGGGTTAAGTGCCACACTGTGAAGATGTCAGCAGCGTCTGCGGCACTGGTTCGATTCCCGGCCAGGGAGAATCCCACATGGTGCAGCAGACCTCTCCTGTCTCGCCTGCTGCTCCCCTCAGCAGTGCCTTCAGTCCGTCTGCCTGTTCTGCTCCCCGCTCTGTCTCTGGTGAATCCTCTCACCCTCCCACGACTCTGGCCTGTACCCCAGCTCTTGTATAAATAAAAATAAATTTAAAAATAAAAAGTAATTAAAAAAAATTTTTTAGTGATTAAGCAAGTAGTGTACCGCAAGACCGAAATTCAGCCCACCTGTCACCACCAAATGCCAATAAAGTAGAGACAGGAATTGAATCTTTAAAGTGCAATTTAATCCGACAGCCAGCAATCTGGAAGACAGGGGGTTAACACCCTAAGGAAACCACATTCCCATTTCATTTCCACCTGCCTTTCATAGTAAGTTGAACAAAGACAGTTTGGCAGTGAGCAGGCCATCACCGCTGCCAGGAGATTGTGGTGTCCAGGCCCCCCAAGCTCCTTATCACCCTCCTGGGTGCCTGGACTCAGATTCATCCCCCTGTGCTGAGGCTGGTCTTCAGATAGCGCTGCTCCCCACACTCCTCCAGATGTGTGCTTTGACTGGAAAATTAAGTCTGAGTAGACAGAACACAAACAATACATGTGTGTAGATTTCCTACAAAGCCAGCTTAGTGTCTCACCAAATAAACTACTCCCCCTTCATGCCCCTATCACTCCCCCCATTAGTTATAACCCTTATATCTATAAGGCTTGTTTCAGGTCAAAGACAGTACTCTGCCTTTGTGAATGCAATCAGTTGTGGTCGTTGTCACAGCACCTTCTTAATCTATGAATCTTGTGCAGATAGGTGCATGCTGGCAGGCATTGTACAAAGCAATAAGCAGTTATCCCCAAGAAAACAAAAAGCAAAAAGATTATAAAAAGCCTCCCTCGGGCCTGCAATGCTGGAGAGCCAGGAGATTAAGGGAGATAAATCAACTAAAGAAACCCTCCCCTTTTATTGTCTGAGACAATCGCATTAATAATCTTAACTTTCTGCTCAATAATTTGAGTGTTGTCAGTCAGGTTAAAACAACACTGCTTGGAGGAGGGATTATTGCAAAATGCCCCTTCGTCCTCACTTGAGTCCCTTATGAGGATCCTGGC